ATGCGGCGTTAAACAACAAACAAATCAAACAAGTCAACGGATGTTGAGTTGCCTCCCTTAGGTATGCCAGGACTCGAATGTTCCATTTATAATTAGGCCAACTATGTTATTTGGTTTGTCAACACCGTACCGGTGTTCTAGTATTTCGCCACATCAGTTTGACCTCTGCTCCCACTTTAAGCTGAAGCGCTGTTGATAAGTGAGATAATATTTTCAAAGCGGCGTTTATTCCAATTTACTGACTGTCAGCCTGGTTCTTTTACCCAATGGTATAAAATAGACATATTAGGCATATCCTGTTGTTGATAATGGTGTAATTAGAACCTAAATGTAGCCGCTTGATCGGTGTTGTATGGCTTCCACAGTGTTGGCGCTGCAGCCAGCTCTACTTCTGCCATTATTACACGGGATAAGGGTTAGTTTCGTATCTTCTGTAGAAGTGCATCTGTACAAAGATGATAAGATACGATAGAAGTCCTTTATCAAAGAAAATTTGTTTACACTGACTCAATCATGACCTGATCATGAATATTTTGGGGATATGTTTTCGTTGTGAAAACTGAACATACAATTTAATTACAAATGTCCACCACATTATTAATGATCATAACTTCTTTGTTCAGTATATATACACACATAAGCTGGGAATATAATCGTGTACCTGCACTGTAAATGAGTGGGTTAAACGCCCCTTTTAACAGTATTCTAGTTACTATATCGCAGCGTGTCAGCTTAATGTGGGAGGAAAGCCCGAAGTGATGCAGGTCTCAGACGTTTACCGCTTCGGTGAAACCCACGAGAACGGGCATGGTACTGACAAACCTAGAAACATAATCGAGGGGAACCGGGATTCAAACCCACAATCATAGGTTCCTGGTGTACCCAAGGGACACAACTCTGCACAGCGAATCGCGGCGCCTCAGACGACTGGGCCACCCATGCCCACACACAGTAGATGAATGCGATAAGATGTGACATCGCATTAACATCAAATCTTAAATTGTAATCTATCAAGTCAAATAGGTTTTTGTCATGTATCAAATCAAATATGTGATTTTCAGAGGTGCGGTCAAATAGGTGCCTGTAGGCCATGGGCAGAGATCCCTAAAGGCTGTCAAAATTAGCAACTTTTATACAAATAATTCTAGTCAAATATACTGAACAACAAAAGTCCCTGAAACAATTTCGGTTTGCAACAGATAAAAGACTCCTGTAAGTGTTCAAATGGTTAAATATGCCATACTGACTTCATAAAATGCGTGATTTCATAAGAAAGGTGAACATGCCAAAATGTCAATTAACAAATCAATAGCGTGTGTGTCCACCTCTGGTTGCGATGCAAGCAACACATCTTCGTCTCATGGAATGGACCAGGCGTCGCACAAAGACCTGTGGGATATCTGTCCATATCTGTTGGAGCATGTTTCGAAGTTCCTTGAGTGTCTGTGGAACACGTGGTTGACGTCGAAGGCGCCGATCCATCTCATCCCACATGTGCTCGATTGGTGAGAGATCAGGGGAGCGAGCCGGCCAGGTGATAACATTCACGTTGTTTCGTTGAAGAGAATCCTGAACAAATCGAGTAATATAAGGCCGGACGTTGTCATGTTGAAAGGTAATGCCTCGGCCACGACGATTTAAAAACAGTAGAACAAAAGGGCAGATGATCTCGTCGCGGTACCGCTATCCATTGAGATTTCCCTCTTCCACTATCAAACGGGTCCTCTGTCTTGCTGTAATCCCAACCCATACCACAACGCTGCCGCCCCCGAACCGATCTTCTTCCATGACACAATGATTGACGTAACGATCACCTCGAAGTCGGTACACTCGAATCCGTCCATCGCCGTGGCTGAGGTGAAAACGAGACTCGTCATCGAATAGAACTTGTCCCCACTGCATGGCCGTCCAGCGTAGACGCTGTCTACACCACTGTGGACGTGCTTGACGGTGGTTTCCTGTCAAAATGGAGCGTCTGGCGGGTCTTCTGGCGACAATCCCTGCACATCTGAGGCGACGACGTACGGTTTGTGAAGATCTTCGTTGAAGGCCAGGGATGCTTCGATTTCGTAAGTGTGTTGTTCGAATCCAGTTGTCTTGTCGATTATTGGTTTGGTGTGGCCTGCTACTCCGAGGATGGTCTCTGACTGCATTCGTCTGTTGCCAACGTTGCCATAAACACCAAATGGTGTTTCTGTGGACGTTAAATTGTCTTGCAACATCACGTTGACTCGATCCTGTTTCAAGCATACCACAAGCTCGCAGACGCTCATTTTCGGACAGGCATGGCATTTCGTAATGTTGAAAATTTGTGTAATTTTGTTGTTTTTCTGAGTGGTTGTTGTCAGCACGATGATAAACAATACATATGGAATCCCGTTAAAGCACATGTTTTTATACCCATTCTTGATTAGTGAAAAATACATGCTCTTTTGCATGCTCTTCTGTAGCAGTTGCGTTTTTGTGACTTGATTCAATATATGTACAACGATATTGTAAACCAAACTTTACTTGTTTGAAAAATACACTGAACATATTGGTGTCACGGGAACTTTTGTCGTTGAGTATAGAACAAAATATACCTTGTCCACACCACATTACTCCTGAAAATATAAAACGTTAATGCCAGAAAATAACGCGCAGGGGACAGATACGGCAGGGTACGTCTGTATTAATACTAATAGACGTCACGTAACGATGATACATGTACGTTATAATCAGGAATTATATTTTAGGGTTCCACTGTTTGTGAAATATGAACAGAAACTTGACTGTCGAGTATATGTTTAAACTTTATGCGTAAACAGCAAACATATACAAAGATTGCATTAAAAGATTTCTATTTTATTGTCATCAACTAAATCACTGCACTTTAGACATAAAATCAATTTCTTTATTACCAGATAGTGATGAACGGACGCGAATTGCATCTTTTACGCAACGTAACACAATGGTGCACGACGCCATTTTAAGACGGCGTCAATAAGGATACCATCAACGTTAAATGCCGAATCACTTCAGCTCAAATTCGAAGGCCAATCAATTGGCGTCACCATCATCATCAACGTGGTCAATTTAGCATCTGGGAAGTCACTACTGGTAAGTGTGTGTGTGTGTGTGAGTTTGTTGGGATTAAGGAATGTTGTAACAGAACTTCAGTTCCCACACACCGTGTTTTCTTAACGAACGAAGGTCGGAGACGTTAACCGCTTTGGAAAAATCCACGACAGCGGAATGACTGAAGACGCTATCAACGACTTGGTCACCCGTACCCCTTTAAAACCTTGGTGAAACCCAAGAGTGTGAGTCTATGCTTATACACCAAGGATAATAGACCGCCTCCGTGGTCTAGTGGTAGAGCGTCCGCCCGGAGAGCGTAAGGTCCGGGGTTCGATCCCCGGCCGCGTCATAGCAAAAGACGTTAAAAGATGGTACTTGTTGTTACCCTGTCTGGCGCTCGGCATTAAGGGGCTGGTCGGATCGGAGTCAGTATACTGTGTCTGACGGGGGTATTAATGTTCAACTGCGGCATGGTACCTCAGTGAGCTAGCACTATAAATCGGCATCAGTCCGGACTAATACAAGCAGCCACACAAACACATACACGTACATGCACGTCGCTATATAAGTGCAATAATCTTGGACGCGACGGTAAACCTCACCCAAGGATAATAATCAAGACGATTTCAGAATTCTACCCCATAAATATCGGATCCTGGCACTCACATTATTATATTTCACTACTCACCCGTGAGCAGATAACACAAAACGAAACGTCTTTATAAAACAGTATTTAATATCCTCACATTATTCATGTTTTAAGTCCCTCGCTAATGACCCGGGATTGACGCCACTGATTTACTCGAGACAGATTATCCGTAATTCCGAGTTTCGAGTTAATTATTCTTTATATCACTAAGTTGAGTTTTTACATTACCCACAAGCGAAAGTGTATGATATAGGTGACATTATTTATCAGTAATTCTCTCTGAGCCTTATATTAACTGTAACATTGTTGTCGACCCGTGAAGATCAGGGGTAGAATAGGTCTTCAATAACCCATGCTTGCCGTAAAAGGCGACCATGCTTGTAAAACTGCGACTAACGGAATCGGGTGGTCAGGCTTGCTGTCTTGGTTGATGCATGTCATCGATCCCAATTGTGTGGATCGATGTTCATGATATTAATCCCTGGATTATCTGGTCCAGACTCGATTATTTACAGACCATCGGCATATAGTTGGAATATTGCTGAGTGCGACGTTAAACAACAAACCAACCAACAACGTTTTGCGAAGACAGCATATTTATGTTATGACCACAGGAACGTAAGGAGATATGAGCGCATTGTCGCAAATAATTGAAGATGACGATTTTAGTGACGTCGTTTCTACATTTTCTCACCAAAAAATACTATTGGTAATATAAAGATTATGGGTGATTATCTGCTCCAAATCAATTTATTTATAAATTCCTATCCTTGACGAGGAACGCTCAACATTAATTCCTAAAGGGACAGATAATCCGTTTATCCTTGTTGTTCGTAGGTTACTCTCTATACATCAGTCAACTAGTTTACAGGCCAATTTCTCTGTTAATATAAACCGAAGAGGTTGACTCTCGACTTTGGGAAGGGTTTTGTCGCTTTTATTCTCTTATGTTTGATTGGTATAGGAAACAACGAAAATATCTGGGTTCAATTTTATAGCAGTTTCCAAACTGCCGGGCACAATAAAGTATACACTTCAAATTTGGATTTGACCAACACATTCAAAATGTTACCAAACCGTGGCCGAAACTCTGCAAACTTAAGGTCGAAAACAGAACCAGGATACCCGAATCAATACATCACCATACGATAATCATTTCTTGTTAGTATCATTTTTAGCCACCATCAAACATAGTTGTATACTTTCTTTTCCCCGGCAGTTTACATTTAGTAGTAGTATCATAACGAAACAAAACAACAGTTTGAAGATTGTATGAGTTTTATTGACATCATTTTGTGTTAGTAATGAATTATAACGGCGTGTTCAACTATTGAAGAAATGTATAAGCAATTTGACATATATTGAAATGTAAATATTAACAGTGCGTGTTCATCCATAGAAAATATTAGCAGCTTGACACATATTTCAAATGTAATTATAGTAACAAGGTGAGGTGAGGTGAAATGGGGTTTAACGTCGCGTCCAAGATTATTGCACTTATATAGCGACGTGGTAATAGTAACAAAGTAAGCTAAACAAAATGTAGGTACAAATAAGTAATGTCAAAGATGATATCAATATTCATAAGAATCTAGCAGACGTAAGTGAGTAAGTTGGTTGAGCACAGCTGTGAACACAGATTTGCATGATTACCTACATCATGGCATCACAGCTTGGTGTGTTGGAACGCCCGAAGTGATTCGGGTCTAATACGTTTACCGCAATGCTGAAACCCCGAGCATCGGCATATTGCTGCCAAACCTAGAAACTTAATCAGGGCGAAGCTGGCCATATGTTTCAGGCATATCTAAGGGACGCAACTCTGCACAGTGAATTGCAGCGCCCCCGACAACAGTCTGATATTTGAAACAACACCGACAGTACGCAGGACATTAGGAAATCAAAACAAGAGTAATGACATACATCAATTAACCATATTTAAAAAATATTTGTGGTACATACTTACATGTAGTATAAAATTCAAACGTGTTATACAGTGCACACTAAATCATTGAAGGGGCTACACAAGAGATGAAACCCACTGTATTATATTGATAAGTGATTCGAACTGACAGTCAGCGGATCGACAAAGTAAAACGATGGTTAAACCAGGGGTTAACCAAAATATCTATGTAAGGATACCAAGGCCGATGCTTATCAAACTCCTTTAGTTCAACGTTTCAATGTTACCTGCTGTTACAAGAAGAAATGCAGACCACTACTGAATGACTTAATCTCACTTCTTTATGTATGTGATGTGGAAGTGAAATTGTTTATGCTGCTCAAGGGACCCAGGATGTAATAGTTTTCAGTCAAAACCCACGAACTAAACAATTTTTTCAAATATTTGTATTCACAGGTACATTAATACAGGACATCCAATATGACCTGCAAATAGATTTTTCGGGCTGGTGGTTAAAATTGAGGATGCATTAATTTCTTCCCTGTTATATCTGGACCAAATTATTTTCTTCGGAAAAAATCCAAGTAAAATGGTTAATCATTATTATAATACCAGCACCAAACCCTGGACACAATACATTGAAATCATAAGGTCTTGCACTGCTTCTGTGTGCTGGACAAGCACCGATATATAGACAAGCTGTTGCACTTTGGGATTGTTACTCCTGTAGCATAGAATGGCACTCAAGTTCATACCGTAGCTCACCAATTACATCTGCGTTGGCTATGATCGACATATTTCTTATATCCACGTTCACTTCCTGTAACATCATACCAGGAGACTTCCTGCAAAAAACAGCCACTTCCCAACATTTCAAACGATTTACATACGAATGAGGCGTCTAGACACAATTGTTCACATTGTGCTGACGTCTTCAATGAATGGGACTCAAGGTTATGACCGGTGATGGCAGTATCCGTGAAGGTGGTGAAGGTAGATCCAAAGGACGAGCACTCTGTAACGATAACAAATTATTAAAACAACACAGCTGTATTAATCCATCGTGCAAATGAATTACACATGAAAATACTTAACCCCAATCTGTTCATCAAACGTAACCCACTGCACTTGGAGGTTGTGGATGTTGTTTTCTGCGATCTGACTTCACATTCAGTGGCAGTATACTACTCAAAAGATGTTAGAGAGCACCCGATTCTGTCATGTCATCGTATGACAGATTAACTACAGTAATATGGCAAAAATCGGGTATTCTATGACTTCTTTGAGTATTATTTCTGCATGTTTCTAGATTACAACACTTTCGTTTCTGACATAAAAGTTTAATGTTTTTCGATATCTCCTTTTTGCTTTAGACCCGTGAAGATCCGGGATAGAATAGGTCTTCAGCAACCCGTGCTTGCCGTAAAAGGCGACTATGCTTGTCGTAAAAGGCGACTAACGGGATCGGGTGGTTAGGCTCGCTGACTTGGTTGATGCATGTCATCAATCCCAATTGCGTGGATCGATGCTCATGATATTTATCACTGAATTGTCTGGTTCAGACTCGATTATTTACAGACCGCCGTCATATAGCTGGAATATTACTGAGTGCGGCGTAAAACAACCAACCAACTTTTTGGTTTACAGTATTTGGTCTCATTCTCAAGATACATACAAAGATAAATGCATCAATTCTGTCTTTGAAAGTAAATTGATTATTAATGTTCTCTGTGTTATCGTTTTTATTGAACTGATGCAAGTGGACGTGTGGTCGCTGTGTGAGATTGTACGCGCGCATCCGTTGTTATTGGCTTAGGTCCAGTGTCACTGGCGGATCGGGGTATGAGGTGGTAACCGGTGGAGGTGACTGGTGCTGTGAGTACGAGCTGATCAGTAAAACATGTTCATCTTCACCTTTCAAATCCAATGTTACCTTTTTCACATTTTACACCAATAAGAAAACTTGTTGCCAGTGATGTATCAAAGCAACAAGCTCTAAAAATCTCAGGGGCAGCTAACTTTCATATGCGGAATATAGGGAAAATTCGAAAGTATCTTGTCCCAGAGACCGCTAACCTATTGATCCACTCGTATGTCTCATCAAGACTGGACTACTGTAATTCATTGCCAAATAGTTCCTGTTCAATCAACCATCTCAAAAGAGTACAAAACAGAGCAGCAAGAATAACAAGGACCAACTTAGAAAATTACATTTCACCGTTACTTAGGAAACTGTACTGGCTACCAATTCCACAAGGGACAAAGAGTAAACCTCTAGTCTTCACGTAAGGGACAGTTCGAGAGAGAGACAAGCTACCTGACTGATTCCTATATACAAACATGAAGCTTTCGTGTATTTCTTTTCAACTGCCAATGCTTTCAAAGCGCCACTGAACAGGCGCAACATATATAAAAAGGCAGAAACGCTTCAAGGTGGACCTCAAATAGGTTCAAATGCTCTCTGTTCGGTTGTCCGTCATTTATTTTTTTAAAGGGGCACTGATCTAACGCAATTCCCCGGACTGGTTGTTGCCTTTGTTATTGGTTTTTCCCCGTGAGTACCCGGATGATACACAACGCAACTGAGCGTGACCAGAGACTGGGCTACCGTCTGCAAGGACAGCTAAATAAACTTGGAGGCTGGAGGCAATATTTGCTTTACGAATGTTTGCATAAACACTGATTGGTTAACTTGATCTATAAAGATTTCGACAAAGGGCGCATGTTAATTAATTTCTTCAGCCTAAACAAACAGACAAAAGAACGACGGAGCTCATCGGATGTCGTCATTTGGAAATACCCCAGATGGTTATAGTTTAAGGCTATAAAAAGTATCTATGCAGTGAAAGCAATTTCGGATTTCGGATTGCGTCGATAATACGATTACTACTCCCTTGTTGTCATCCACGTTTTCTGGTATAACCCTACACTTGTGTATTTGTCGTCATTCACTTGATGCTCAGTTTATGAATTTATTACAGGTACAATTAGTGGTAGCACCACTTAGATCACCCGACAAAGGTTCCCATTTGACATTTATTGTGTCTGGGGTAATTATTCAATCTAAATCCAGGTTTGAAGTGAGGTGAAATGTGTGTTATGTAATATGCACGTGGCAGACCAGCAAGAGGGGAATGATCAGTTGATTTACTTTTTTTTGTAAATAAACGGATCGTTCCTAGTCATCAAAGGATTAACAGAAAATATGTTGATTGATTAATCACTGTTATCTTGCACAGTGGATATGTCAAAAGTGAGTGTTTACATGTCTAGGTTTACTAAAACAAAGGAAATATACTCATATCATGGCTAAAGTGTCGATGTAAAAACAACATACTTTGTTCAACGGGTTAACTGATAATACGTTGTTATAATTGTTATCTATCTATCTAATGGATTTTTTTAGGATACCGTGGACGTTATGAAAATAGTTGTCACGTGGGCTTTCTCAGCCGACCCTTGAGGCTTGACAACTATGTGAATCACCTGAAACAATCCAAGTGATCAGTTGAGAAACGAACACGGGTTATAATATCCCGAAACGATATATATCTTTTAAAATATTTGATTGTTACAGAGACACGTGACATCAAATAAGTTTCTTTGTACAGCTGCAGACGAGTGGGATATTGTTCCTTTGTGTGGATATTCACGGATACATTCCTCGAACAAGGAAGCTCCTAAAATGTATACACATAAATTTGGTAGGTTGCAATTTTGGTATTTGCATTTTGTTTTCCTTCATTTGAACCGATTCGTTCTTGTTTCTCTACGTCTTGGTTGGGAAATTCTTCAATGCGCGATAGGCGTTGTTTTCACAAGTCTTTTCCTTTGTAAGCGTGTATATATTACCGTCAATTTGTAAAATGTGATTCTCTCAGGCAATTTATAAAATGTGTAAATATTTCAGTCATTTCGACTAAAAGTCTGTCCAGATTGATTAAGATGATCAAAAGGGCCTACAAACATCACAACAGATTATTATGTAGGATTAGAAGCCTAACAACATAGACATGTACTTTTCAACGTAACACATTCAGTCTCTTGGTGATGACATTAAACATCAAATGTTTGGAATTCGTTACCATAATAATACAGATGGAAATGTTTTTCAGTCACTTTGTAAAATAACTGAATATTTAGACTTTTAATAAATTTGAAAATGTTACACATTTTGACAGTAAAAAAATATACACACTTTAAAAAAAGCAATGCTCAGGTGAAATATTTACTTTGTGTTTCAAATCAAAATAGTGTAAACGAAAATCGAAAAATTACCAAGCAAGTGACTTATCAAATCTTCGTTACCATTACCGGTGCTACCCACAAAGATACCTTCATTTCCTTATTATTTTGAAAACTGTATTTCATTTTGTTGATCAATGTGACCATACGCCCTCATTACTACCCATAAAAGTGACTGATACGCTTACGAATTGCGCAGCAGAGGTCGGGAACCAGTCTAGATTTCTGCTATACATCCGGGTACTCACTGGGAAAAAACAATAACAAAGGCAACAACCAGTCGCGGGGAATTGCGTTAGATCAGTGCCCCTTTAAGTTTGTTTCATTTATTTTCAACTGCCAATGCTTTCAAAGCGCCACTGGACAGCTGAGCTAGGCGCAACATATAAAAAAAGGCAGAAACGCTTCAAGGAGGACCTCAATTAGGTTCAAATGCTCTCTGTTCGGTTGTCCGTCATTTATATTTTTAAGTTTGTTTCATCTTAGGACGCATTTTAGTTTGATGAGAGAAATCTTATGAAATAGTCAAATACACTAAACCGCAAAAGAAACGTCACCCCAAGTAACATTGCATGAAAAGTTTTCCTTTTTAAATATCCGGGTAATTTTTGTCAAAGTTTCTAAAATTTAACATTACCTTGTCCGGAAAAATGAAATTTGATGATAGAAAAATATGATGACAATAAAACCGACCGCCCAAACGCATCACGGCAACGGCAATGGTAACCCGATGCACGTGAATTCCGTGAGTTCCTTGCAAATTGAAACATGCGTTCCCCCATTTCTTGCCCTCTAAAAATCCACCCAGATCGGATGGCATTCATTCGTTATTGAATCGCTACCACATGTCAAGATTTAAAAGAAATGAGCGACACCAGGCCCTTGGACGATTGCAAACTGGACAAACCGCCCGACAATTAGCCAATGCATTTCAAGTCCCCGTAAGGACCATATACAGGCTCCAGCAACGGTACCAGACGACCAACAATACAGATACCAGACCACGTAGTGGAAGACCAAGGGTCACCACCCGACGTCATGATCGTCAGAATGTGCGACAGCATCTTCAAGATCGCTTTGTTACTGCTGCGGAAACTGCACGACAGACAATGGGGACACACCAGCGACACATTAGTGTAGACACAGTGAGTCGACGATTGACGAGCCGACACCTCCACTGTCACAGGCCACACCGAGGACCCATTCTGACACCACGTCATCGCCGGGATCGTCTTCAATGGGCAACACAGCACCCACCTTGGCACCACTAGCAATGGAGAAGAGTTCTCTTCTCAGACGAAAGCCGTTACTGTATCTGAACAGCTGATTGCAAAGAGAGAGAGAGAGAGAGACTGGCGACGCTGTGGGGAACGTTATTCGGATGCTTGTGTTGTTGAGAGAGACTCGTGGGGTGGTCCGAGCATCATGGTGTGGGCTGGAATTGGTCTTGCACAGAGGGTCGGCCCTGTGGTCTTCCAGAACATCGGTCCAGGGAGAGGCAATGGTGTCACAGCAGCTCGGTACATTGATCAAGTCTTGAGACCACACGCCATACCTCATTTGGCACGTCGCCGCAACCACGAGTTTCAGCATGATAACGCCCGTGCCCACACTGCGAGAGCTAGGGGAGATGTCCCCCAGCAGAATGGCATCAGAACCATGCAGTGGCCTGCATTCAGTCCCGATTTAAATCCCATTGAAAACCTGTGGGACGAGATTCAAAGACGGCTGTGAATGACGTCCGACTAAGGCCGACAACTGCAGCTGAACTGCGTCGGGTGTTCCTCAGAGTGTGGGCTCATGTGCCCATGGCCTTCATCAACCGCCTCATCCATTCCATGTATCGACGTTACACGGCAGTCATCAATGCACATGGCGGACACACGATGCCATTTTCTCAGAGACTAGTGTTGTGTTTCGCAAAAACATTAGACACTTTAATTTCAACCTTGATGATCAGTTTTTCCAAGTTTCGTCTTTTTAAAATGTCTCAAAGTATGTTTACATCGTTTGGACAAATAAGGTTTCTCATAAATCGATCAATGGTGACGTTTCTTTTGCGGTTCAGTATAGTTTCGACAGCAATCAGTGTCATATTATCTTTAGAATGTCAAAGTGTTCAATATTTACCTAATTATTTCAATATTCTACTGAAGCGATAGTAACACTGATGATGCTCTCTTACTATCAAAAGATATGTCAATATACCTGCTAATGATCTGCATATGCCAGTGGCATCATCCATATCACTTCCCACGGTGCATACGCAGAGGCTGTTTGAACACTCTGTGAAGGGAAGGGAACTGCAGTCACTGTTATCAACGCACGTGCCATCATCTGGGTGAAAAGAACAGTAATTAAGCCAAGGGTTCCGTACGTCCTGCTTAACAGCCGCACTTCATTGCCTCGAACAATTTAAATTAAAATATCAGAGAAAGTTTCTTTACGACATAATTGCTGTAGATACCAAAGCCAAAGGTTAAAGAACATGAGGTAATAATGTTGCAGTTTAATTAGGCAGGTAGGACCAATTCATCGGCTGAGAAGCCTGAAACAAAGTTGGTAAGTGACAAACTGAATGGGTAGTCGGGCTAACTGATAACATCACATCATGTTTTGATGTTTTTGACCATTCGAGCCATATCACTGTGGGGGACACCAATAATGGTCTTAAAGAACTGTACGATGTCAATGTCTTGAATCCTCGGCTAGTTCGAGCTACTGGAACTTCGTCTGCCCCGGAATGCCAACGGAAGTCATTTGTGACATGACCAGCAACTGCCAAGAGCACCTGATAACCTATTGCCTATGGAACCTATTTCTGGGTTTACTCTTGTGTACTTACGGGTAGTAGTTGTTGGTGTAGTCGTTGTTGGTACAGCTGTTGTGGTAGTCGGTGCTGGTGTCGTCGTTGGTGTAGGTGTTGTAGTCGGAGCTGGTGTTGTAGTTTGGGCGAATGTTGTAGTTGGTGCAGGTGTTGTAGTTGTTGGTGCTGCTGTTGTAGTTGGTACAGATGTCGTGGTAGTCGGTGCTGGTGTGGTCTCTGGTGTAGGTGTTGTAGTCGGAGCCGGAGTTGTAGTTGGGACGGGTGTTGTAGTAGTGGGTGATGCTGTTGTAGTTGGTGCAGGTGTTGTAGTAGATGGTGCTGCCGTTGTAGTTGGTAAGGGTGTTGTAGTCGGTGCCAGTGTCGAAGTCGGTGTGGATGTTGTTTGTGTAGGTGTCGTAGTTGGTGCCAGTGTTGTTGTCAACGCCGGTGTTGTATCCTGTACAGAAGTTGTTGCAGCAGTAGGTGCAGTACCGGTCGTTATTCCAGTCGCAGGTGCTTGGTTTGTATGTGTGTCGACGTGTACACATACATAGTTGGTAGACTCGGTCACAGGGACACACACGTGTACATCTCCACAGGGTTCATCTGCGCATGGGTGAGTCTGGGAAGATTTTTAAAAAAAGGAAAGATTGAAATAACTAAAACAACTGACATTACCATACTAAAGATACCTTTGTCTGGAATAAAAGAATAAAGTTCATAGAGCAACTGAAATAAATAATTAGATGTTAGCAAAACTTAGAAAAGCTCGAGTAATCCGATAAAATAAATTTATGAACAGATATCCTGAAACGAGCACGAGGACCATTTAGACAATATTTGTGAGACGTCTAGGTCTCCAAATACTTCGTGATGTGTCAATCAAAAGGGAGAGAGGGCCGGAGTAACGAGAGCAGTCAAATTCTTGAAAACACAACATGACTTTTTGACAAACTGCAAGGCCGCATGTTGGGGTTTTAGATAAGTGATTTTTTCGTATTATTTCAGGTCACCCTAAGAATACAAGCCAACCATATAGGATAATACAAGGCAAATACAAACAAAGCAAATACAAACGGTTTGGTCCCGTGAAGATTCCGTGTTAGAATTGGTCTTTAGCAACCCATGCTAGTCGTAAGAGGCGACTAACGTGATCGGGTGGTCCGCGGTCATATGGATGGAATATTGTGCGGCGTCAAACAACAAACAAACAAACGAAACACAAACGTCTTAATAATGTCGGCAACATAGAAATGCTGCAGAAAAGATGAATCTGCAGTTAATTATTCACAACGAGAATGCTTCTGCATTTCTGATCCTACGTAAGCAGTGCCGCCATCACAGTGTGATGGACATTCTACTTCTCTGAAATCTTGTATGAACTCCTTTATATTTTTCACAATTATATATTCACAGAAAGTATTTGAGACAAGTGGAATTAATACCATGTGGATTCTCAAAAACTCAAAGGAGCTGCTAGACTTTTTCCAGTTTAGAAAAGAACCAAGTTCCATTCTGTCAAAACATTTGATTTTTGAACTTTGTACACAACTATCTCAGATGACAAATTTAAGGGATACAATTCATTCCTTGATCAATGGGGCTTTTGTTACAAATTGTGGTGAACACAGATACAGTTGCGTGCCCTTATTCAGATGTTCAGGACAATTTGTGAAAAATGAAAGCAAATGTCGTCTGAAGTTTACTGAGAAAACAATATTGATAACTACATGCCATTGGCACCAATTGTGGCCCCCTTCCTGCGGATCTGGTTCTTTATACATATGAATCTTAATTTCTGTTCGGATTGCCAAAGTCAAAACAAAGTAAGATGATGTGATATCGTTCAATAACAATCCAATAGCCAATTCCCTTCCCCTGATTTACCCACCTGAACTAGAAATAAAGGAGACCAGTGAGACCGTCTAATTTTGCTGAGTGAGGCGTTAAACAACAAACAAACAAACATCTGTTTCACATTCAGATCTATGCATAAAGATTCAGAGTGACAAAACACTCTCCACAAGACTGTATGACAAGAGGGACGACTTCAACTTTCCTATAGTCAACTTACCATTCATGTCGAGCAGCTCCAGCCTTTGAAGTTCAAATTTCACAACTTTTGATATTCAATCGAGCATGCTCTTTCCAACAAGATTTCAAAGAGCACCATACGACTCTTGTTCAGAAGTTGTTTCATCAAGGTTACAACATTTAAGGCCTCAGTGAAGCTTTCAAAACCTTTTATGGTAGACATTTCCAAATTTGACGCATCAGTGACAAAAATTATGTTCAATGTAATTCCTTATTTTGACTTGTACCATATGTTCTCGTGATATCTATTGAATATGGAAGGGGTTTTGTCCCTTATTTCAAATTGGATACAAAATATGAGTTGGAAAGGGAACATTGCAAATTGCTGTCTTCTTTGAATTCCTTACAGCGAAATATGCTGGAATTGTCGGCAAAAGGTGGGGATTCACCTATTGTACAAGTTCTTTGTTCTCAGTGGATACAATGCAAACGGCTTGTTTGAACAGGATGATTTTAATATGTAGTTATGTATCTTAAAGAAATCGCTCTTGGGGACAGAGATATTTGCTGAGAGAATAAAGTTTTTTAACACAATTTTAGCGATTACCTATCGAACAAGCTAAAATATCGCTTCTCCATTTCGATAACATATATGGCTTGACATGGTTTGTTTTAGGAAAACCACTTTGCGACAATATAAGGTTTGTTTTAAATGTCTGAAGCACAATATATATTTTGCGATAAAATCCTAGCCCAGCCCCAGCTCCAAGATGAGTAAAAAATAATCAGACTAATACCAAAAGTTGATTTTGGATTATTTGACAAGTTCGGATAATGGCGTCTGGTGTGGTTGAACAATGGTTACAGCGTTTGTATGCCACATCAAATATCGATTATATTCCTACGTGTGTAGAAGGCATGACATATAAGAAAAGCTTAGCCAGTCACTGCTTAATCCTACACAACGCCTGGTGTTAATGAGGTTCATGCGTGTATGTTTTACCACACCTTTGCAGTGCGCACATACTATCAACTTTTCTTTCGGTCATTCTAGATGTTTGATTGGCTGAAAGGGACTACTTCATTATACGTTTAACTTCGTATGTTTTGAAGAATAAATCTATAAAATAGCAAACATCCACTGTTGGTATATTATTAATCTATAACAAGGTTAGGAGCACTATTGTTGAAAAGTACAACCGTTATGCTTCATGCACATTTTTATGTCTTTTGGCCGTGGTGACATATTTGTGAACTATATTTAAGTAGTTTTCTTTTCTAGTTTAAAAATCATTTGGCATAATATGTTTTCGCGGGCACATGGTACCATCACTATTTGTTAGGAGGAAAGCCCGAAGTGATGCAGATCTCATATGTTTACCTGGTTGGTGAAACCCACAAGGCGGGATTGGAACCCACAATCATAGGTTTCTTGCGTGAAACACCAACATGCTGGATTTCCTTCAAAAGTAATGTTTAACAAACGCCGCTCCTCCTTTCCCAGTTGTGTTTTTTGTCTCCTACAATACTCCTAAGAATACTAAATGGTTGGTCCTGATAATAACATTTTGAGTGTGAGTATAGATACAAAAACCTTCCAACTCAGGTTGGTACGGAAGCGTAGTAGGGCCATTTGACATTTTTTGGGGGTCTAAGTATTTAATACGTAGGACTTATTATCTTCTTTGTAGGACTTCTAAGTAGGATAAACTATCTCCTACGTAGGACTTACTATCTCCTACATAGGGATTACTATCTCCTACGTAGGACTTAGTATGGCCTAGAATCACGATCTCCTACGTAGGACTTAATATCTCCTACGTAGTACTTAGTATCTCCTACGTAGACTTACTGTCTCCTTCGTAGGACTTACTATGTCCTACGTAGGACTTACTTTCTCCTACGTAGGGATTACTATCTCCCACATAGTGTGCCAGACTGAGGCCCGATTGAATTTGATATATTGTGGGTTGACCATTTTGAATCACGATAAATTGGAAGAGTGAGTGAATAAGTTGAGCGAAATGACGCTTTGAACAGTATGTCGCTTACATCACAAGTGTAATATGGTTGGTTGGTTGGTTGGTTGTTTTATGCCGCATTAAGCAATAATCCAGCTATAAGACCGCGGTCTGTAAATAATCGAGTCTAGACCAGACAATCCAGTGATAGACATCATGAGCATCGATCCAAGCAATTGGGATCGATGACATGCTTTAACCAAGTCAGCGAGCCTGACCACCCGATCCTGTTAGTCGCCTCCCACAACAAGCTTAGTCGCCTTTTACGGCAAGCACGGGTTGCTGAAAACCTATTCTACCCCGGAACTTCACGGGTCCAGTGTAATATGGAGGAAAACCTGATGTGAGCAGTTTACAGGTATAGTACTGTAACACCATGTATCAACATCAGGGCAAATGTGGGATTCACACCCACCTCCAAATAATTATACGCGGGTTTCGGGAGTCCATTTAGAGGGTACTCTGCAGTGTGATGCACGGAACGCAAATACAATCGTATTTGGTAACGATGCAGATTCAACATTTAAAAAAAATAATTCTATACCTTATATATTGTTGTCGATATTTTTCAGTAATTTTAATTTCAAATGTCTTCCTTCTATGACCAAGGAACGTGTTCTATAGTTTTTGGACTGTGGCTGACATTCTGCCTTTGTACATTCAATTCTTACATATGATTTTGGGGTTGTGTTAAGTAGTATTCGGAATTCATGGTTTAGGGTGAACAAATGAGATGAAAACATGGATGGTATTCGGAATTTTTAGAGTTCACAGCCTCATGATCATTAGTCAACTAGGGTATCTGTTACCCTATTGAACTGTCATGATTCAACATTCACGCATTCATATGGAAACTGCCTACCTGTGGAGGAAATTGATGAACCGGAAGGTACACGTTGTTCGCGGACACTTGCAAACTACCGTCACCTACAGCACTGGTACTAAGTTGACATTCTCTAGTTGACAAGATCCAGTTGGCCGAAAGGCACCTTGCTGAATATCCACAGAGTCGGTGACACTGTCGAACTGTTGCTGTCTGAAATACCTGAAAAACATGTCCGGGTAAAACTCTGTCCTGCTCTCCACCTATCTCTGACAGCCAATCTGATGACACACATGAAAACATCAACATTAACATGATGGTCTTCATTTTGATTTTATCCCAGATCATTTTGTACCGAGAATAGAAAGCCATTCTGCACTCGCTAAGATCTGTTGAACACCTGTGCTTAAAGGGGAAGTGTACACGCAAAAATCACTTTCTTTCTTTCTCTAAACAAAACGCAATTTTAGAATTAATTAGTATCTGTGTTTGAAAATATACACTCATTTCTTTCACAGTGAACGTAGGAAGCTCACAATAGTGTGAAAATGATATGCCGTTATGAGGCCTTCGTTTTTCGAGCTAAACAGGCCTGAGTTATCCCCCTTAGATTATGACGTAATTGGTGCCAATTCAACTGGGTCCCTGTCTATTCTCAACGCAAAAGATATCAAGTACCAGTTTGCGGTAAAACAACATGGCCTACGACACACTCCGGCGCAGTGGTG